CGATAAAAGAATTCATGTGAAAGCTGTGAAGAAACAGTTGTTAAATAAAATTGTGGAGTATACGGATAAAGATGACAGCTAGATTTTTTTGTGTAATGAAAAATCTAGGTTGTCTTCAGTACCAGTAATAAGAGGCTGGAAAAATCCTTAACAATAGTTAAGGGTTTCAGGTCGTCTCCATGGTTCAAAGGTGCGTATGGTGATGATCCTGTGAAATGAACTGCCAAGTCTTCCATCTATTACTCCCTCCGAGAGCTTTCTTCAGGAACCTGCAATTTATTCTTCCGCCTCGATGTATTGAAAACTTCCTCTTTCCTGTCTGCAGCCTTAAATCAAATAGGCTTGTGAACAGATCTGAGTATACTGTTTTATTTGTTGTATTTTGTGTTTTGCTTGATTCTAGCAGCTATCTCTGAAACAAAGTTAAAAAAGTACAAGACACTTGCATTCTTAATTAAGTAGATTTTACTAAAAGCATAAAATCGGGCCATCAGCAACGTTAACTCCATTCTCTGGCTATTAGTTATGTTATGTCCAAACTTCACAGACCTGTAGTTTTTAGTGTAGGCAGGTGCACAGTTGTATCATAAAGTAAAATTAAGATACAACGTAGCACTCCATTAGCAGGTACCAAGGGAGAAATCAGGAATTTAGCATGTAGCAACAATCAGAAAGAAACTGGTATTGTTAGTGTGGGCTGAGGTATAGAGGGACTTTGCCAAATACGAATATTTTTTACAATGGTTCTGGCTATGCAGAGAGAAGACTTTGGGAGATAACGCCACCTTTTTTTTTTTTTACACTTTCTTTTCAGGAACGTTTCATTGTAGTTAGAGAACCAAACGGTGTATTACGCAAAGCAACCTGGGAAGAACGAGACAGGATGATACAGATATTCTTCCCAAAAGAAGGGCGCAGAGTTATTCCCCCAGTGGTATTCAAGGACGAACACCTTGGGGTAAGAGCTTCCAGGTTTTCAAAACTGATTGTTTTTCTTTCCTTGTGTTCTGTTAGTGAAACTGTGCTGTTCAGACAGAGGAGCTCTCAATAAGCCAGTCTGCTTGTATGTTTTAAGCAGCCTGACTTCTGCTTTGAACAGTTGCTTATCGTTGTGGCTCACTTAAAATACTTACTACAAAGTTCCAGGTTGGGACCAGGTGAATCCTGGGTAGGTGTAAATATTCTGTCATATTAGAAATCCAAATTTGATTGTTATGCATTGATGAAATTGTATGTTTCGTCTGAAAATGTGAACTGGTGGTTCAGAAACGAAAAGTCAAGAAACATTGTATTAGTGTCATCAGGGCAGTTACTGCACTTTTATCCATTTTGCCTTGTGATTAAGGGGATACTCTCTGTCAGTGTTGCCCAGAGCAGAAATATTGTGGCTGCTGTTTTTTTATTTTGGATAGTTGGAATGGTGCGATACAGAATCTATTCCTGAGTTTGAACTGTTGTTTTAGACTGTATTCCGGCAAGACCGCCACGAGGATCTCCTTAACAAGTGCATTGCGCAGTTTGAGCCAGATTCGCCCGACTATATCAGAGTGAGTTGATTTTTCAGTTTTCTAATAAACAATGAATATTAATGAAGAACTTCAGGGTTTGTTTTATAAACATGAGTGTTACCTGGTGATCAAAATTGGTTTTTTTGATTGTTGTTCATATGTGTTCTCCCCCCCTACATAGATTACCTGTTATCCTTGAGCTTTTTTTTTTTTTCTTGACTTACGGAGAACATAACTTCTATTTACTTCACAGTAAAGCAAAGAGGGGAAATCTTACTATTTCTCTCCTTTAAAAATAGATTACTACTTGATAGTAGTGAAAGGTTCAGGGGTTATGTCATGTCCCTTCCTCCCCAGACTTTCAGTACATAGCTAGTATTTGGCTTTCTCTTAACATAAAGATGTTCATGTCCAGGCACTAAGAACTGGGTTATTGCGGTGTTACCCTGAATTATAACATGTATAAAGCTTTAAGGTAGCGTGGTAAAAACTCCTGCATTTTAAGGAGGTTTGAGCGTCAATTAAAAGTGAGAGGTAGTGGGGAGGAACTGTCATCAAGCTCCAGTTGTGCTAATGAGACTGAAACCTTTTCTACCTGTGTATAGGTTCATCATCGGACTTACGATGACATTGAGAAACATGCCAAATACGATCTGCTCCGTTCAACAAGGCACTTTGGAGGAATGGTGTGGTATCTAGTCAACAGAAAGAAAACGGATGGCTTACTAATAGATATGATCCAGAGAGACTTGTAAGTGGTGTTTGTCCTTTATTAATTCTGCTTATCGAAACAAATAGAAAATAAGTCCTGTTGTTTGAAAATAAAAACAGTATTTCTGTAAGATGTATTAAAGTTCATTTGCATGAAATTTTAGGCTGGCTGTACCTTTTAGCTATATAGATGCTGGATGGAAGCACCAGCTACAGTCCATGAAGTTGTAGGATATTAAACTGGGTTTCTGGAGAAATTAGCCTTTTGTAGTTGTTGGGTTTTTCTTTTAGTTTCCCCTTTAATTGTCAGTACACTTGCAGCTCTGGGCTGTGCTGATCTTAAAGCCTAACACTTTTATACTCCTGAGCTCAATTTGTCTTTTAAGATTGACACACTCTAGGTTTTAGAGGAATTCGAAAGTAGCTTGGAACAGATAAACACATTGTCATTTTAAATGGATGGATTTCTATAAACGTATGTTGCAAAATTTATTCAAAACTCCCTGAGGCAAACCATATTTAATTGTTCCAAATGTGACTAGAGCTAGGAGAAACTTGTACAATTAGAACTCCAAGCTGCAGTGATGGTGGCATTCATTCATCTCCTACTGGTGAAGTTAAAAACTTTCAACAGGGAATCAGATCTTGCTTTTAAACCTTAGGATATGGAGAAGGGAAGTTCCAATTTTGGAATCAAATTGTTAAAGGGAAAATTCAAATATCTGGACAACTTAAATTCCAAGAGTTTGGAGCATCTTTACCTGCCACCCACCTACTTTTGGCTTATCCTTACACTTATGTTCAGTTTTAAATTCAGCTGAGGGCTAGGTGTTACAGGATTTATACTACTAGTCCTGTAAAACATGGTAGTTCCTGCAGTCCATGTCAGAAAGTTTCTCTTTGGCACAGTTGTTCTGCTAAATACTTGTTATAGGTAATTAATTGTATTTTAGAGAGAGATTTCAGCTTTATTACTGTTGAAGAGTACACCATGGCTCACCTGCAATACGGAGAAATTGATGTACCTTACCTGGGGCACCTCGGTGTTCACGTGCTTCTGGTCTTCCTTCTGAGGAACAGGGTGCCCTTGTGGTAGATGATGGGATGCCTGTTTAGCTGTATATTCTAATGACTGTGTACTCAGTGAAAGCAGTTCATGGAAACCTGTGGTGTGCAATACTAAGTATTAAAGGCCCAGTTGTAGCAATTACTTTCTCTTATTTGTTTAGGCTGGATGATGCTACAAGTTTAATTACACTGTATCATATGCTTCACCCTGAATGTCAATCAGCAAAAGCAGCTAAAGAAGGGAAACTTCAAGGTGTGGATCTGATCAAGGTATGTATTTGTTATGGTTTGAGAAACCCATAACATTTTGTCATTTAGACAATCACTCTCTCACCTGGTGACCCTTCCCCACCTGGGAAGGAGAATTGAGGATTGAAATATAAATAGATTTAATAGGCTAAGACTAAATAAGTGACATTAAGAAGTCCAAAGAACTAGTATTGATCCTGATGTAAATATACCAATATAAAATATACAAGAATCACACTCAGCCCATTCTATCAGCAGGAAGCTGTGCACTCCCTGCAGGTGACAGCAGATGTGTGACACTGCAAATGCTGTTCATGGTATGAAATAATCCTCTTGGCCAGCTTAGGTCAAGTGCCCAGGTCTTGCTCCTCATCATCCCTGCAGCTGACAAGGCTCGAAAACACTGTAATTTTGAATCCTGCATAGCACAGTCTATCAGCAGGAAGCTGTGCACTCCCTGCAGGTGACAGCAGATGTGTGACACTGCAAATGCTGTTCATGGTATGAAATAATCCTCTTGGCCAGCTTAGGTCAAGTGCCCAGGTCTTGCTCCTCATCATCCCTGCAGCTGACAAGGCTCGAAAACACTGTAATTTTGAATCCTGCATAGCACAGTTGGCTATAAAGTAAGTATTTTCACAAATTCAGATGCTAGAGTCTTCTAAAAGTGCACTTTTCCCAAGCGTTAGAGGAGAAATTAGTCCTGTGTCACTCAAACCAGGACACCTTTTTTACGTTAAGGCTACTTAACTACAGAAGAGAAAGCTTTTAAACAGCAAAAGCCTATTTAATTGTCTAAATGTCTCCTTACCTTAAGCAGCAGATACTTAACTAGAACTATTGCACATACCCAAAATGTTTTGGGTAGGTTTTTTTTTAAACCATATGTAGCTGCAGCAGGATTGTGGCTGTAGCTGGTTGATGCACCACTGGAATCATGAAATCTCATTATGCAACTATGTTCTTAATTGTATACTAATCTCTCTCCTGCCATGTTTGCAGGTATTTGTGAAAACTGAATCACAGAATGAAGGCTACATACAACTGGCTCTCCAGGCTTATGAAGAAGCCATGGCTACTTCTACAGCTTCATGAAATAAACCTTAGTTCATCATGAGTTTATAAAAACTCTCTGTACAGGATTCCACAATAAAGACTTTAAACAACTGACAGTTCTAGAATTTTTTTTTTTTTAACTAAAATGTGTAAGAATCACTACAGCAGCTGTTCTGTTATATCTTTTAGCTAAAAGTGGTGTTTGGAAGAGCAACTGAGCTACTCCTCGTAAACAGATATAAACTAAATAGCACAGTAAAAAAAATAACAACCATATACTTAAGTGTGTATGCTAAGAAAAGTCAGGTTAAACCTCTAATGCTTGGCTACTGTGTTCATGTTTCAAATAGTTGCAATACAAACTATTGAAGCTGGGATAAGAACAGTAGAATTACTAGGAAACAGAACTGAGGAATAGAATGTTTAAAAGGGTTTATTGAATTGTTTGATGAAGGCAAACATTTTTTAGTATGCACTGGAACAGCCTACATCTTCAATTTCAACATAGTGGAAGCTGATTACTTTAGGACAGTTCCTGGGTCTACCCTTTTTCTACATGTACATGGTCCACTTGCAGTATAAAAATCAAATTAACTTGGAGCACATAGTCCACAGAGCTGCATTCCTTTATTTGGAGTAATTGATTTGGTCATCTAAAAAGCATGGTCACTCATCTAAGATCTCTTCATCCAGATTGATATCTGTGGTATCAATATCTTCCAGATCCAAGTTATCCAAGTCATCTTCCAAATCCAGCAGTGTCTAGGAAAAGACAAGACTAGATTAAGGGGACACTAATATGGTTACATGTTGGCCAGCTTATGTGATCTATGATTCTGTGTGATGTATTTGCACACCCTGCAAAGCACCAGTGATAAGGTCAGCTGTAGAGAAAAGCTGCTTTTTTGGTAAAAGAGCATCTCGCAGAGTCACAACTTTGTACCACGTTCTGGCCAACTGCATTGGGACTTCACCCCTCTGCTCCTTGTAAACCCACAGGGCTGTAGGAACTGCTCTACGTTACTGTGTACAGTTTTACATACAACAGGAAGGGATCCACACACCATCCTGTCCCAAGCTTTCTGGGTCTATTAATTTCCAGTAGCTTGGTTTAATCGCATTATTAGTTGAAGTCTTCAACACAAAATTTAGTGCTAACCCTTCATAAAAAAAATTAATACATATTTCAGTACCTTTTGATCTCTTGTTGGAAGTATATCAGAATTCTGCAAAACTGTCTTTATCCCTTCTTGTTTGGGAGTTGGAACTGGTTCTTCAGCCTTTTTCTAATGAAAAAGAGATTCCTTAAGTTCTTTTGAATTTAAATTCTTGCAACAAAAGTAAACAGAAGATATTTTATCTCTCTCTATTTCCAGTAGCTTGGTTTAATCGCATTATTAGTTCAAGTCTTCAACACAAAATTTAGTGCTAACCCTTCATAAAAAAAATTAATACATATTTCAGTACCTTTTGATCTCTTGTTGGAAGTATATCAGAATTCTGCAAAACTGTCTTTATCCCTTCTGGTTTGGGAGTTGGAACTGGTTCTTCAGCCTTTTTCTAATGAAAAAGAGATTCCTTAAGTTCTTTTGAATTTAAATTATTTCAACAAAAGTAAACAGAAGATATTTAATCTCTCTCCCCCAATGGTTCTTTCAGGGTTTCCCTCTAATTCCTGAGCCACATCTTCACAGCCAGTGTTCTAGTCCTCACTCTGCTGGAGACTGATTCACCCTCCAGTTTATTTAAAACAGTTGCTGATGGAACTGATACTTTCTGAAGGCTGTTTTCACTGTATTGGTTAATTTCAAATACTGAAGTGCTGTTAGTAAGAGGTTTTCAAAGTCCTCAGCAGGAAAGAAATGAGGTTACTTGAGATGGTCACAGAAGTTTTGGCAAGTCCTGTTGTCTATAAGCCCTGGAACAGTTTAACACTCATACTTCCTCACTGCTTCACAAGTTTTATATTGAGATAATTCATCAGCTAATATCATTACTGAAGCAGTGGTACTGCTCTGTTAATCACATTTAGATTAATTACGTAATTATCTCCTACAAAACTTCCCTTATTCAGTCTCAGTTGCAAGAAACAATTGTTATTGAAGGAATTCTATGCAATCATTAACTGAATGCAAAGATACACTTCTAACAGCAGTCTTGGTTCCAGTTTCTAATGCAAGCTACTTCTAATTTATTTAGGTAACTTTTGCAATACTATTCCTTTCTTTTCTTTAACACAAGCTTGATTTTGCTTTAATGATACTTGCTTTAATACACAAGAAACAAATAGTCACTAAAGCTACTTGAAAGTAAGGTAAATTCTCTGAACTCTAAACAAAGTTTTGTAGTGCATCTACAAGGAAAAAAACAGGCAGAATGGGGAGTTGTGACGTGTTTCTCCCTCACTTTCCACTGCAGTTATTTAGAAGTTTATAGCCTCAAATATCTGTGCCAACGTCACTGTCTTTAAGAAACTCTCATGTTCCAATTTTCATGTTGAAATGTAAAGTGTATTTGACATAAGAATTAGAAGTTGTCGTCTCCTGTTTAACCTCTGAAAAGCATTTTAAGTTTCATTTCTATCTGTATGCTTCTTATATTGAAGTTGTGTTTTCTGCATAATAGTTGGACAACTAAGGTGGTAAAAAAATAAATCACTTTGAGTTACTTCAGATATTGATTAGAACATGATTTCAGATAATTGAGCAGGATTCCTCATCAATTAGTTATAGACTAGTCTTATTCCACTAACATGCACACTAGCAAGGAATATAAAACATTTTTAATTAGTGTGATATGCACAAGTTTCCACATTCCAACTACTGAGCTTTTAGAAATGTAGCAGCAGTTGAGGCAGTGTCCATATGTGCAACTGATATTGGTTTTCTGTAGGATGGATTTCTTGGTAAGACCCTACCATTGCTCACATTAACAAAAGATGAACCAAGAGAAGTAACCACACAAAAGAAGTAATTTCACAGTCAATAAGTCATTAGTAGTTACAGAAGTAGATTAAGAAGAGTCTGAGGAAGAACATGGAACTCAGCTGCACTGCTTACACTGTTGGGCCAGTCAGAGTAATTAATCTGTCCATGATTGTGAAATACCATCCAGAGCAGATGTTCCCACACAACAGCACAGCTGCCTTAGAGTTCATCATTTAGTGGTAACACTGACCTGAGGTGCTGTTACTCCAGAAGGCTCAAAGCCTTTTGCTTCTTCAAGTAAGTTTCTTTCTTCATTTGGCTAAGTAAAAAAACAAAAACACCAAAACAGATGTTCATTAAATGTTTAAGTGGTTGCACTGACTTTTTTAAAGCTGAATTTACACAGCACCAAATGTTTTTATTCTAGAGACAATCAGAGCTCCCAGTGACTTACAGTGACAAGAGGATATTCCCTGGCTGGCCGCAAGTCAGCGAGACTTTGTTTAACATATTCTTCAGCAACAAAAGCTTCCTTTAATCCAGGGAAAAGATTTTCATATTCTGTAGGATCAGCAAGGGACTCAGCAGCTTTTTGGTTGACTTTAGAGAGATTCTCCCTCCACAGTTTAACAACCCTGGAGATGCAAACCATCCCTGTTAGATACAGCTGATTTCAACACCACTCTCCATGCTCTGCATATGCTTTGAAGTTACCTTGAAACTTGGCTTGGCAAATATGTCCGTGCAAGAAAAGCAGCTTCTGGGAGACGCCCGGTTTTAATCAGGAGTTCCAAACATGAATCAAGCCTAAAATATTATAAAATGAGATTTTAACCAGTGAATTTAATAAAGAAAATATTTTGTATTGGATTAGTTGTTTATTCTATTAAAATGCTTTCATTTCAGATTTTTAAAATAGTAGCCATCATGAAATAGAATCAGATTTTCTGAAAAGGTTTTGTATTGGATTAGTTGTTTATTCTATTACATTAAAGTGCTTTCATTTCAGATTTTAAAAATAGTAGCCATCAAGAAATAGAATCAGATTTTCTGTAAAGACACACACCACAATCTTTCTCCATGAAGTTTTAAGTGAACCATTGTTAACCACGTGAAGAACCTGAGGTTCTTTGCATTTCTGGAAGCAGAACAGAACCACCTGAATCTCTTGCTTGCTACTTACTTTCCCTGCAGGAAGTAGCTCATAAATGCAACGTTGTTCTTGCCGTCTTTTTCTGCTCCTTCAGCTAACTTATTCACCATGTTAGCATTCCCCGACGCCGTTGCCAGCAGCAGCAGCCCTCCGTAGTCTTGGGCATGGTGGAGACACTCCTGGGCTAAGCCAAACTGGCACTTACTAATGGCAAGCTCAGCAAGCTGCTTCCATTTCTGTTCCGACTAATGGCACAAAAAGGGGAGAGGAAGGGAAAGAAAACCCAAAATGTAACCCTCATTCTTGAACAGCTTTTAAAGATTTTCAAAGCGTTCAAAAGGAAAATATAAGTTTACTTGTGAAGGTACTATATCCCATCATTACACTTGTCTTCCCTTTGAGATACTGTGATTACTGCAGCTTCACAGCACAACACAGGGAGTGTTATATGCAGACCATGACACAGCTATACCATCACATCAAATAAACAGTTTTCCATTAAAGGTGGAGGGAGGAGGTAGAAATAACTTTGGAAATTTAAACAGTAACAGTCTCTTAAAGAAAGCTCTCAAGTTAACCTTCAGAATGAAAAAAAAGTATTTGTGTCTGGAACTAAGTTCACATTCCTTATCACTAACTTCATTACTGTACAACAGGAACCATGAGATCAGCTCTCTGAATAATGGCTATGGGACACATCACTGCCTGTCAGTCTTCCTACTGCATCAGTCGAAGTTTGCCAAGGCTGGAACAAAGGCCCAGCCAGAGGCTTCAGTCCTGTGAAGTTTGCCAAGGCTGGAACAAAGGCCCAGAGGCTTCAGTCCTGCCATTCCTCCTCACTCTTAAATACTGGAGATTAAGGCTTGGTTCCATTTCTTTATTCTCCAGGAGTTTCTGTAGCTTTCCAAGTAGAAAAACATTCTTTTATCCCAGTCTCACAGCTTAGATTGCTTTGCATAACAGGCAGAAGAGCTTCATCAAGGAAGTTGGAGGCATTTATATAGTGTTCAGAGAACTGTACTGCATCCCCACATCACTGCCTTTTCTTACAGGGCCTCTCAGATTTACACCAATACTCTGAATTAGTATGAACCACCAAAATTATATGTTTACCTCTGCTTCCACTGCAAGCTGATACGCTATTTTTAATTCTCCAAGTTGAAGAGCAAGTTCAAAACGGTGCTCTGGATCTGTAGATACTGCAAGAGCTTGCTGTTTGAAGCCCTAAAATAAAAAAAACCAAAACACTGGAAGTAAGACTGTGATCCGCCAGGACAAAGAGCATTCTAGATGCTCTAACAAAAATCCTCTGAACAGAAGGTTATGGTATTCTCAAATAAATACGGATAATTAACAAGAACTTATGCTTACAGATAACATAACTGGGTTTTGCTTAGAAATAGCATTCTAGATGCTCTAACAAAAATCCTCTAAGCAGAAGGTTATGGTATTCTCAAATAAACACAGATAAGTAACAAGAATTTATGCTTACAGATAACATAACTGGGTTTTGCTTAGAAATGTAAATTTAGAAATGTGAATAAATTGATTAAGTTTTTGATAACTAAGAAGTAGTTTTCTTGCCTGTTTTTCAAGAAAATGTGCAACTCTGGTTCTCTGTTCTTTTGGAATTGTGGGAAGAACTTTGTCAGCCATACTGAAATCTCTTCTCATCACAGCGGTTTGATATTCAAGCACTGAGACCAGCAAAGAGTAGCTAACAATGTTTAGCTCCTTATCACCCAAATACAGTCGGTTGTCCTTAGGGATATAACCCAAGAGATACATTGTCCTGAAACAAAACAAAGAATATTCATCTTGAATAGATCCACCACCAAACAGCCTATAAAACCCACTCCAATAGGTCTTAACAGTGGCAAGAATAGAATAGATCCACCACCAAACAGCCTATAAAAACCAGTCCAACGGTCTTAATGGTGGCAAGAATGCTCACATGAAAGATTCCACTTTTACAATATGTACACTTTCACATAATGCTGTTTATTCCCTCCAAGATTACACTACTGCCTCAGAACATACATTAGCATTATATGTAAGAAAAAGCAGTAATGGCAGCAAGCAGGTGACAAGGTGAACCTTGTCCTAACTTCACTGAAAGAACCTTTAATGCTTGATCATAACCCAGTGGAAGAACTTACCTGTCTAAATGGGCAATAGTGACAATTTCTCCTCCAACGTAGTAGTTGAGTCTGTTCACAGAACTGGTGTAAATAAAGCAGTCCCCTACCCACAAGCCTGTTTTCACAATCTCCTGAATCTCACCAAGAACCTGCAAATTAAGTTAGATTTAATTAGATATATAAAAAGGTACTTTCAGGTATCAGTAAGACTATTACATTTTCAAATTAAATTTGATATTCTACACTTAATAGTTGGGCAAGTTGCAAAAATAAGTTTAGATACATATTGGAAGTACTTAAATAATGCTTTTAGTTTTACAGAAATCCTGTAACATAAGAAATGTCTCCTTAATTTCTAAATAAACCGATCAGAAATCTAGGAGACAAGCACCAAACTAAACCTTAAGAAAGACAATTAACTAAACGTTAATCAAAGACAACCTTCCTTGTGAAATTTTTGTTTCTGCCATTTCACAGCATGAGGATTTTTCCCCCCCACCTTGTTCTCAGACCTCAATAAACATTTCAAAACTTGAAAGTTTTGCAGAAAAACTTTAAACTACATAAACATGGCATTCAAACGTGTTTCAAAAATGACCTCTATAACTCTGTGAGAAGAGTAAAGTATGAAGAGAAATGCAAGCATCAAGGTCTGTCATGCTGGGATTCAAACAGGGATGCTCTCCCCAGGGAAGCCAAATAAAATGGTTAGCAGTGTTCCTCAGACAGATGGATACTGTGTGGTACTCAGTGTTCTGGAAACTAGAATGTAATAGGACTATGATAAGGACTTAATTTGCTATACTCTGGGAAGACTTGCTTCCACAATCTCTAATCCTATTCCATTTTTAAAATAGAAGGTACCTCAAAAGCATCTTCAATTCCGTCTTCAGTGACACCTTCATGTGTTTCTTGAGCTGCTGCAACTTTCTCTGACAGGTATTTCAGAATGAAGAAGGACTCTTCCGTAGCAATGCAGACAAGCTCACCCGAGTCAGACCAGAAGATCTGTATCATCAGAATCAATAAAGGCATTGTTTTAGAGACCCCAGGGTAAGTAAGGAGGATGTATAAATTAACATTAGAAAATACTAATTCCAACAGAAGCTTTATGACCTGAGAAGCCAACACATACAGGGAATGTTTTCCCCTTCTGCTACAAGATTGAGATTAATTTATGAAGTTATTACTTTATAATTGACAGCTTGGCTTTATTCAAGAAAATCAGTAGTCTAGTAAAATTAAGTCAGTAAATACAGACAGGGAAATATCTTCAGTCCCATCCAGAAACTTACGTGTTTGGGCTGAATTTCAATTCTGCGAATCAATTCTGTGTTTTCCCAATCATAGAATGCCAGACCATTAACAGATCTGACCCCCAACAGGAAGCCACCGTAGATGCCTGCAAGACAATAAAGGTGGAAGAAATCCACACTGCGCAAAAAATGTGCTAACATACCTATTTTAAAACTAAACATTTACCTTCTGCTCCAAAATCAGGTTTGAATGACTTCTTCTCTTTGAAATTTTTAAATATCTTTACAACACTGTTGCTCTCCCTGATGGCGTATCTAAATAGAGATGGCATTGTAAAAATTATTCAGGTTCCTAGGTAGAAAACGACTAAAATCATAGGCTGCTACAAAACAACTGCATTTGATTGATTGATATCTTCAAAAATTAGTGGAGTGCTACAAATGGAAAATTTTAAAGCAGGACAGTTACTGCAAAGTTAATTATCCACACAGGTTTTAGTCTTCAGGCCAGTTTACTGTTTGTACAGCCGGAAAACTAGCAGCAGTAAATTTAAATTAATACAAGGAGAAAAAATATGTCCAACACTTACTCTGAAGAATCGTGTGCCCACACAAACTCCTGTGCCGAACCAAAGCTCTTGTTTCTCAAAGCCATAGCTGTGTAGATGATGTATTCACCATCACCACACACCACTACAAACCTAGAGCAGGAGAAAGATGCATTTGTCAGATACCTGCGTCCAGTTCAATAGGCATGATCAAGCACACAAATGATCAAAAAGTTAAAGGCCTCTAGTTTAATACATTCATTGCAAATGCAGACAGAATAAGAGAGCTTTGTACATGCCAGAATTCCACAGAAATGGATTTCTCTCTGCATGGTGTTGCTAGCTATTTGCTAATCCCCCTTTCTTCTGGTCTCCACTAAGCTGGTCTTGCACCTTTTATCTCCTCACCTTTTTTTAATTTAGCTCATCTGTTACCAAGACCCAATTCAAGATAAGTGATAAAATGATCTGGTTTGCTGCTATTACCTTATACATTTTATTTGCATACTTCCTCCCCTACCTAGAACGTCCAACTTGTCGGTTTAAGCTGCGAGCTCTTTCAGGAAGCACATCTATTACTCTGATTTTACAGTGCCTGGCTCTAATACATCTGTTCTCCACAGGCTCTCACCATCAGCACACACACACAATTAATTTTTTTCATTCAGAAAGCTTTCCAATATGAAATTAAAAAAAAAAAAAAGATATCAGAAACGTTTAAGTATTTTGTTCTACAATCTATTACCGTCCATTAGGGTTGTGCTGAATTGTCTGAGGATAGATTTCACAGCTCCCCATATCCTTTACAGCCAGCGGCAATCTTTCTCCATCTTTGATTTCGGCATCTCCCATAGCTTTCAAGTTAGCCTGTTGGACTTCCGAGTGTTTAGCCCAAATGATTTTTCCATTTGCATCCATGGACATGGCAGGTTCTTCACGACCAAGCTAGGAAGTGTAGCGTAAGAATTTAGCAGATGGAAAAAAGACATACTTGATTTTCTTTTCAGTTGAACGTTATCTAGTGAAATACCCTGGCTCTATCTAAAAATGCTAATTAAAATGCCAATTTTTCAGTATTTTACATATTATCACAGAATCAGAAATTAGTTGCTCTGTGCACAGGACAGTAGTGAATCACCATTTCTCATTTAAAATCATTAATTGTACCTTAACAATAATGCTGCCTTCATCATATCCCAAAGCCACGTTATTGGATCCTCTTAAACTGGCCACACACCACACTCTCTCCATCCCATAGTTGAGGGTACTCTCCAGGCGGTAAGTGCTCGAATGCCAAATGCGCACAGTTCCTAGAGGGGAAAAAAAGAAATGAATTCATGCCTTGTGTCTCTTCTCTCAGCACGAGGGCAGAAGGTGTGTAGCCACACCACAAGAAGAGTTCTCCCATAAGCTCTTCCCCTGTCTTTTATATATCAGAAAAAACCAAAATTACCATCTTCTGAGCCTGTGATAATGATGGGCAATTCAGGATGGAAGCTGACACAGGACACATTTTGAGCATGCCCTTCCAGTGTTTGTACACATGTTTTATTCTGAAAAGAAAAGATGAGTCAGAAGTACAGATACAGATAATAAACACATTGCTACATTTTTACCTTGATTTCTTAAAAGAACATCTCCCCCCAAAACCAAAATTTATCTCAAAATGTATTTCTCTACATTTCTTCCAGCAACTTTTATTTCCAAAATTCTCAAACAACATAAGACATATTAAAAGCTATGATTGTATTGAGTCAATTCCTCCTCCCCTGAAGAAAATATTTATTTTCTTTGATGTAGTTGCTGTCCTCTATTTTCAGATGGGTTTCTGCCTAGGTGATGTGCTTTCTCAGAGTGAGGTAGCATAGATTAAATCAAGACAGAAAGCTAAGTTCACTACAAAAAAAAATTAGAGCAAAACATCTTTCTGAACCTAATTACAGGTGAAGACAGATCTAATACTGTCTTTGTTGAGAATGTTTATTTGGACAATTGTGAAAGAAAAGTCTACTCCGATTGAGGTAACTAAGATTAGAGTAGGGAACTGATGTATACAACTGTCCACAGGGGCAAAATTTTAAGCACAGTTACGTAACAGTGATTACTGCAGTCCATACTTAAATTTTAACACCACCAGCTTTAACTTCTGAGCTTGGATTTACCCTAGGGCAGTATGTTTTAACAATGTGAGAGTACTAGCTAAGAAATTTTATCTTGTCCTTCTGACCATTCATAAACTTGTACGCAGGAAGAATTTATGAGTTTTACTTTCCAGAAACAGTCCCTGGATTATATCTCTCTTTTTCTCCTGTAGAGCATTTAAATGAGTTGACTCATGACCCCTGCAAGCTGTCAAGTACAAACGCATATGTGTGTGAGCATACAGCCATGTGTCTGGGTAAACGTACACAGGAAAAGGAGAGCGGAAAGGGAATAAAGAAAAAAATTGAATGAGAAGTGAAAAGATGGAAAGACTTGGTACATGAAGAATATTTACATTTGAAGATAGGAGAGAATGACTTCAATCCACGAAAAAAAAAAAAGATGTCCAAAAAGCAGGGATTACTAAGTTACAAGAAAAAAAACAATGCTAATAATATAAACACCTCATGTCAAATTTAATTCTACAAATTTACTGAGGTTTTTTAAGTTCACAGCACATTTTCACAAGGTTAACAAAGTTGGGATTTTTTTAATTAAATATTTATTTACATGAAATATTTTCCCCACACTTCCTTTCAACACATACCTGGTAGTCCCAGATCTTAACCAACCGGTCATCTGCACCTGAGATGAGATAGGGCTTGTCTCCTCCACTGTAATAATCAATGCAGTTTACTCCTTTCTCATGGCCTTCCAAAGTAAAGTTGGGTGAAGAAGAGCCAAGCTGCCACACCTTCCCAGGAGAAAAAACACACAACAAAACTCAACAATAAGACAGACAATCAGAAGTGGTTATTAGTCTTTTGCATCCAGGTCAACCTAGTCAAACAGCGTAAGTATTCAAATTCACATTTATAATTCCAAAGTTATGGAATATGAAATTCCAAAGATACATGTTTTTTCTTCAGTGAAAAATTTGAACAACTGCTTATCAAACTACCAGCTTCCCAGCTTGAAACAGAAACAACATGCTAAAACGCGGACATTGTTCTGAGGTGTGAGCCCGGTGAAATTGGTTTCTTTCATTAATTTGTTTTGTAAGGACATAAGGCCATATAAGACACTGTTTTTAAGAAGAAGTATCTGCTTATTAAATTAAATAGACCTAGACAATGCAATCAACTGTTTCTGCATATATTCTGCATATTCTGTGTCCAGAATTTTATTTTTTCCAGTTACATTAAATGCATGACAAATCTCATGCTAAATGAGGGCTCCAAATGAATCGAGTTGAAGATATACTTCTACTTTCCCATGATCACCACATCAAACCAACATTTATACACACGATATCTGAGAATGTATGAAATCAAAACTGGCTTTTTATAGCCAGTATACTGAAAATTTATAGGGAATGTGAGGAAATCTCACTGCTCAGATGGCTGTAGATCTCTAGATCTTCATGTTTAGTAATAGTTTCACAACAAATAAACCTCATCAGAGCCTACCATGAGAAGGTTGAAGGCACTTTGGAAACAATTCAAGTGATAGACAACCAAGGACAAGAAAATAATGGGAGAAATGCCTTTAGTGGCTTTTTGTTTGGTTGTCTTTTTAAATACACACAAACTTTACCCACTATATATGTGTGTATATATATACATATGTATGTAAGTTTCAATTCTCCCAAACTACTCATTGACAGTATGATTACACCTTCCCAGTATTTCTGTATAACCCAGATGGAAATGCAGCACTTTAAATTTAGAGAACCACATTTCAATAATTAGAGGAGACAGGTAATCTTGTAAGTTCAGTGAATTACTTAGTAGATGTACAGTAACTTGACAAATGCTCAGGTCTTTATGTAATAAAAATTCTATTACTGCACCCACTTTTAAGAATTCTGACCCACTGTCCGTACAGTATTAGTGAATTCTGTATTCTGTCTGATAATTACCTAACGACCACCCACCCCCAAATACAGTTTATCTACCTTGATTGTCCTGTCCAAAGAGGCGCTGGCAAACTGATTATTGTCTTTTGGGTTTATGACAATCTGCATGACATAATGGGTGTGTCCTTCAAACACCTGAGAACAAGACCATTTTTTATCCCAGTCCCAGAGTTTAATAAGCATGTCATCTGAAAAACAAAACAAAACAAAAACTCAGTTAGTTTAACATTCTCATACCTACCTTCTTAAACTAGATAATTCTTATTAACTTCAAGTTAAAGGCTCATTCATCCCTTCTCCTTCAAAGGAGGAATTGCTAATACTTGTGATATTTTTCATGTCTAACATTACTGGTGCTTCTGCAAGGAAGGGACCTCAAATTTATCAAAAAGACTGTCCAGCAAAATGGTCATAAAAACTGAAAAAAATAAGTTTGCCCAGCTCAGCTAAATATTCTGTTCAAACCACACACCTGTCTTAAAAAGGGATATTAAGAATTTATATTAAGGTATTGTATTATTAATCTTAAAATACTGGGCAGATAGGAAGGAAATGGACCTGTGCTTTCTTCTGTAGCATCTAGTCTGATGACCACTAAGGAACAGGCAGAGACAACCAAGCTGGCTTCCCAGTACCTTTACTTCAGGTGCAAGCCCATTACCTCCAACAGCAAAACAGAGAAATAGACCGTACTTCTGACTCCAAGGCTCTCTGCATTCCTGCAGAGCTCTGACTGCACTGAGGTTTACAGGAATGAAAAGGACAGAGGAGCACAATGTAGATGTTCTTGGACCAGATCTGTTGGGATTCTGTGATCTTCCAATGCTGAGTAACATAGGTCACCCCAAATAACAGATCTCAGCAGTATTTTGGGAAAAACAAATGAATGTTATCTGTTGCGTCTAGTCAGGTTGCCAGCGGAAAACATACTCCAAACCATTTTTTTTGCTTTTTTTTTTAAAAAAAAGCGGAAAACATACTCCAAACCATTTTTTTTTGCCATTTTTTTAAAAAAACCAGAATTTTAGTGTGGCAAACTCAAACAACAGCTAATTAAAACATATATGAACTTTTCCTCTGGCAGGTATTAAGCAACAAGGTTTTTTGGTCTTCTCTGACAAGAACATCAGCTATTATATTTTAAATTGCAAATACAGTTGATAGTCCATTAAAAACATGAATGCACATGGCAAAGAAATAACATGACATGGCAACTGTCATGTTGGCTACTTCCACAAGGATTCCTGTTTCAGTAGAAAAAGGGAAAAAAAAACATACAATCCCTCAGTGGACAGAAAACAGAAGCCTAACAATAGCTGGTTAACAAATATAAAAATATACCAAAGAACTCTTACCGCTGCTTGTCAGTATGAAGGGCTGTGTGGGATGCACAGCAATGCAACGAATGTAATCTGAATGTGCTTCAAACATGTGAACTCTTTCCAAGGTGTTATAATTAAAAACTCTTATTTGCATGTCATCCTGCGAAAGAGAGGAAAAGCAACCATTAAAATGGGACTCTGTGTATAGTACACCTTATATTTAATGCAGAATAGCTGGAAGTGTTCAAGGCCAGGTTGGATGGGGCTTTGAGCAACCTGGTCTAGTGGGAGGTGTCTCTGCCCAGGGCAGGGGGGTTGATGATCTTTAAGGTCCCTTCCAACTCTAACCATTCTATGATTCCCATACAGCTGTCTGAACTCCTGTGTTGCCAAAGAGGCAGGGTTGCACTTACATGAAAACCATGCCCACTTGAAATAACTGGGTCACAGCAGCATAAGATGACAAAATGACAAGAATTTTTTCTACTCTGTGTACAGTGCAGTAGATCAGAAAAAAAAAACTGAGACAAAAAATTTTAGGCAATCTAAACAAAAAACACTCATTCCATCAAGAAAAATGTGTTACCAAGATTAGAATAACACTATTCCTCTCAAAGAAGTAGACTCACTGTATAAAAAAAAGAGCATTTTTCTTGAAATTAACAAAACTCTAAAAAAAATATTTTTAATATAACCAAGAACAAAAGTAGAAAGCAACTCTTAAGTTATCTTACTCAGGACAGTCAATAGTTTCATCTTACTTAAAGTAGTACTGCTAATATTTAGTCAAAATTGGGTGCTGAGTGTGTTCCAGTTGACAGTAAAAGCTGAATCTAGATCTGCCTTGCATGACATACAGGATTAGCCACCATATTAGGTTGCTCTCCTTTGAGATGAAAAGTTTAAATTTCTAAGCTTAATAAAAGCAGAAAATTTCTGGGAAACTGTAGTGAAATATTCCTTTCTCTTCTACAAGTTCATATCAAGCATACTATTAGGTGATGTGGAAAGTAATGGCATGAAAATAAATTACAGCACTAGCACTGCATATGGAAATCACAAGAAGAAGATAACTTACAGCTCCTGTAACAACCCAATTCTTTCTTGCCACAAATTTGGCAGCTCTCACTGGTAGGTCACATACTTCAAAAGTCTTCACCAGAGTCTAAAAATAAAAATAAGAAGTTTATAGCAGTGGATAAAATACCAATTTGGAAATCAGCTTTTTATCTTTTTCTTAACAGTGTCCAGTACACTGTCTTTGGCAACTCTCCAAAGAATCCTAAGACACTACATGTACACTTTCTTAAAGGAACACACCTGTCCAAGAAGGGAAAATACTTGCTCATTCTGTTATCACCACCTTTATGTTCTCCCTTCATGCTTAACCCCAGCCCCCACAAATATTTTTGGAGCTGCTGCCCAATTTCAACTGTACTTGGATAGACAAGTAGAAGGCTAATGGTTCCTACAACATTCAAAAATACAGATGGCAGGTAAAAGATAGAGGTATCCCATGTCTCAGAAGGAAAGGGATTAGTTTGCAAGAAATACACAAAGGAGACCATTCTTTAAAAATAAATTTATAGGAAATGAAACACCATTAAAGTTACAGCTTAAGATATTCCTTTTCTGTTATTATAGTGACTTTTCTAAATACGACGGGGAGAATACAGTCAATTAGTGCAGTAACTTAAGATTCTTCTTGTGTATCTACTATTGAAAAATAGAGATTGTACATCTGTCAGTTATGAAGATTTCATAATAAGGGAAAACAAAAATCATCACCTGGGTTTCATGGTTCCAAACACAGACACTGCCATTGTAAAGGCTGGCCAACATCCATGGTTCTGTGGGATGCAAGTCTACGCTCTTCACCCGGTCAGACCGAGCTGTTAGCTTCCGTTTTATATCAAGTCGGAGAGGCTAGAGAGGAAAAGAGTTGAGAATATAAAGTTATTCAATGTAACTGGCCCAGGAATATGATGGAAGAAGGAAATTGAAAGTTAAACCTTAAAATGAAAAGGAATCAATCCTGCTTGTCATGCAGACAGAAAGCTACTATTTTATATCCATCTGCTTGTTTTTGTAGGGGTTTCTGGAAACATCAGGTCTCTACCAATGGCAATGGGTCCATTTAATTTAACTGTATGAAATTCAAAATTTTTTCATACTGTAAAAAGTATCTCCAGCACAGCAAAAATTTAAAAAATGCACTGCACATCTTCCTGGTGTCCCTGAACTACTAAACCAAAGCAAAGAGAATTTGCTTCTAATACAAATGATAGAAAATGAATGTCCCTACTATTTCACTTGAAAGAACGGTGGAGAAGCCAGTTATCACAATGGAACCCAACAACATTTGCCCACTATAAGTTTGTTTCCTTTCACAATTCCAACATTACTTTTTAGAATGGAACACTATATTGCAAAAACTGAGAGAAAGAAAAAGTTTAGGTCTTTCTCTTATAAAGAGGACTTTGACCTTCTACTTTCATCACTGGCAATATAAATCCATAGTATTTAAAAGGCATGAAGTATAGCAAAGTGATTTTCTAAAATGTTTGAGGCATTATAGATTCTTTTAGACACTCAAAGACTGCTAAGCTCACTTAATGGTGCTGACATTTTATCTCAGAGAGCATAATTCCTCATATCTGATCACAGAACACTGTATACGTTTTCTAGCAGAATAAAACTAATACAACCTGCAGTTATATATGTTAGACACCATAAGGAGAAAAAAAAAAACCACAGCTATCATATAGTACATATACCTTATGGACATGACATCTGATGGCAGAGAATGAATCGCGGAATCACAAATTGGAAGGGACCTCTAGAGATCATCTAGTCCAACTGCCCTGCTAAAGCAGGTTGCCCAGAGCACATCACTCAGGAGTGCATCCAGGTGGGTCTTGAAAACCTCCAGGGGGTTTCAAGGGGGGACTCCACACCCTCCCTGGGCAGCCTGTTCCAGGGCTCTGGCACCCTCTCCAGCAAGAAGTTTTTCCTCATATTTGAATGAAACTTCCCATGTTCCAGCTTGAGCCCATTGCCCCTCGTTCTGTCACTAGAAACCACTGAAAACAGTCCAGCTCGACTATCCTCCAACCCACCCTTTTGATCATCCTGCCATAAATACTAGAGAGGTAGACAATACAATTGCACACGATCCTGTGTTTGTCCTTGGAACTGCTCTTAACTGCTGCTAAGGACTAGGCTATGGCTGATCCAAGGGGTTAACTGCAACGCAAGCTCAAACACTTTGACAACTGCGAGCTCTGTTCCACGAATTACCCCACAACCCCACACTGGTGACGCAGCCCAAGGGACCTGCTCCACGGTCGCAAGCATAATGATGCCAGGGGGGCTTTCAAGCGCTTTTTTCTGCTTTTAACTTCAATTACAGAATAACAGCCCCACCTGTGCAGGCAGCGCGGGCGCAGGGAAGCCCGAGTCAAGCAAGAAGACCCCGCACAGGCTTATCCCTGACTTGCCCTCCCCTCAGCCAAACCCCACCGCCTCAGGCAGGGCCCCAAGGCCTCCGAGCCCGGCGGCTGCTCAGCCCCTCGCTCCTGCGCGGCCTCTGGCAACCCTCCTGCACCGGGGGCTTGCGCGCTCGCCCGCCCCCGCCGCAGCCGGCCGCTAACGGCCGCAGCCCCCCAACGCTCCCCGCCGGGTCGTCTTCCGACCCGGGCCGGCCCTCCGCGCTCCCCGGGCCGGCGGCAAGCCCCGTTGGCGGAGCGTCCGCCGGACTCACCATGGCTGCGCGTCGCCCCGACGGCTGAGGTGGCTCCGCGCCCCGGGCGTTGCCCCTCGTTCTGTCACTAGAAACCACTGAAAACAGTCCAGCTCGACTATCCTCCAACCCACCCTTTTGATCATCCTGCCATAAATACTAGAGAGGTAGACAATACAATTGCACACGATCCTGTGTTTGTCCTTGGAACTGCTCTTAACTGCTGCTAAGGACTAGGCTATGGCTGATCCAAGGGGTTAACTGCAACGCAAGCTCAAACACTTTGACAACTGCGAGCTCTGTTCCACGAATTACCCCACAACCCCACACTGGTGACGCAGCCCAAGGGACCTGCTCCACGGTCGCAAGCATAATGATGCCAGGGGGGCTTTCAAGCGCTTTTTTCTGCTTTTAACTTCAATTACAGAATAACAGCCCCACCTGTGCAGGCAGCGCGGGCGCAGGGAAGCCCGAGTCAAGCAAGAAGACCCCGCACAGGCTTATCCCTGACTTGCCCTCCCCTCAGCCAAACCCCACCGCCTCAGGCAGGGCCCCAAGGCCTCCGAGCCCGGCGGCTGCTCAGCCCCTCGCTCCTGCGCGGCCTCTGGCAACCCTCCTGCACCGGGGGCTTGCGCGCTCGGCCGGCCCCGCCGCAGCCGGCCGCTAACGGCCGCAGCCCCCCAACGCTCCCCGCCGGGCCGTCTTCCGACCCGGGCCGGTCCCCCGCGCTCCCCGGGCCGGCGGCAAGCCCCGTTGGCGGAGCGTCCGCCGGACTCACCATGGCTGCGCGTCGCCCCGACGGCTGAGGTGGCTCCGCGCCCCGGGCGGCTCCGACCCTCCGACGTGGAGCTTCCGCACCCGCGCGCTCTCGCGAGAGCGGCGCGAGCTTTCCCGGCTGCTCGCGAGAGAGAGAGAGAGCGAAAGCCAGACCCCTGTGGGATGCCGGGATATGTAGTCGGCAGCGCCTGGGCCGCTTCTCGCGAGGCAGGCTGGGAGTTGTAGTTGCCGCGCGCGGGAGCGCGCGCCACCTCACCTCAGGGCGTCTGTAATGCCCGTAATGGCCATTGGCGTGAGGTGTGGCCCTCGCTATACCCTGCCAAGATCTTTTGTGTGGCCATGGACCTCTCAGGTAGCTGCTGCTGCTGCTGCTGCTGCTGCTGCTGCTGATGATGATGATGATGATGATGATGATGATGATGATGATGATGGTGGAGAGTTACCAGGCTCTGCCAGGTTGTGGGCGAGCTGGGGAAGAGAAGGGTCCTCTGGTCCCTTTGGCCTGCTCGGTGTGGTATCTCAGTGTGCGTAATGGCAGCTTTGGTCAGAGGGACCAAGTCCTCAGTGGTGAGTGTGGCAGGGCCCTGAAGCAAGCCCCTGGAAGGAGCCCAGCTTGCCTCTCTTACACGACAAGAAAAATGCAAGTCTGGTCTGTCCCTCAGACCTTGTAGATGTGAAAGGCTGTGACGCATCGTCGTGCTTTAGCCAACAACTAAGCTTGCTCACTCTCCCCGCCTAGGTGTGATGGGGGAGAGAACTGGAAGAGTAAAAGTGAGAAAACTCATGGGTTGAGATAAAGACAGTTTAAGGGGTAGAGCAAAAGCTGCACATGCAAGCAAAGCAAAACAAGGAATTTATTCACTGCTTCCCATCAGCAGATGGGTGTTCAGCCATCTCCAGGAAAGCAGGGCTCTATCACGTGTAACATTTACTTGGGAAGATAAACACCACTGCTCCGAATGTTTTTCCCTTCCTTCTTCCCCCAGGTTTATATACTGAGCATGACGTCATATGGCATGGAATAGTCCTTTGGTCAGTTGGGGGCAGCTGTCTCTGCTGTGTTCCCTCCCAGCTTCTTGTGCACTCCCAGCCTGCTCGCTGGTGGGGCAGTGTGAGGAGCAGGAAAGGCCTTGATTCTATGAAAGCACTGTTCAGCAATAGCAAAAACATCTTTGTATGATCGACACTGTTTCCAGCACAAATCCAAAACTTAGCCCCAAGCCAGCTACTATGAAGAAAATGAAATCTATCCCAGTCAAAATCAGCAAACACATTTCTCTCCTCTTAATCTTTTTGTCAACTAAAGCTACAGATACTACAATTCCAAGCAGCTTCTTGTGGAAACATCATGAGGAATGTGAGATTTTGGGAAGTACCGAAGCACAAGGAACCACTGTTGAGAAATTTTCTCCTAGCATTGTTGCCAGATTGAAGTTTAATTAAAAATTGCAATCCCCACATTATATGAGGGAGAAGAATAACATGGAAGATATTTATATTCATTGGGATTTAGTTAAAAAAATTCTCCTTTTGATACAAGTGTTCACCTGGGGAATAGGAACAGCGAGTGCTCTACCCTGCAACACAGTAAGAAGGATTACATTGCACTGGAGTGTTTACAGTTTGAAGGACATAAAGAAACAAAAGGGTGACAGAGAGATTACTTCAAATCTTGTTATTTTCACTCCAAGAGAGCAAAGACAGAAAAGACAGATACTTAAAATTCAACAAACACAAGCCTGATGACAATAAATGAGGAGAGAAATGCCTGAAGCCAGAAAAGGGGCACAATGTTGTGAACTGTTATGGGTGAGTTTAGACTTTCAGCTTTTTTTGTGGCTTTCTTTTCACTTTCGTTTCATTATATTAATGATTGTGGAATAATGCTTGAAACACTTTAGTACAGAATTTCAGGATGTAGAACCTGGATAAGCTTGTTTAAAAGTAATGATTTGAGTAAAATTTTGAGTCTAATTCATGATTTTTAGACAGCTGAGGTGGAACACTGAAAGAACAGGCTGGAACACTGAATGAAGAAATGTAGGGGAAGGAGACCCATAGAGAATATAGGTAGTGGAGGATGAACAGTACATAGTGTATCTTTTTCCTTGAAAAACTCAAAAGATCCTGCGCAAAGAGAGATGAGAGTGTTACAGGGGAGTCAAAGACAGCAAGGAAGGTAAATGAAAGATGAAGGAATCGAGCTTGTTAGTCAAGAAAATAACAGCAGGGAAAGGAAGAAATTACTTTGCTGTTAGCTTCTCCTGGGAAGTTGTAATAATAGAAAAGCTATAGTGCAGAAAAGAGGCACAGGGTATAAGGTAAGGCTGACCTTATAGTGGAGAGAAGCAATGAAATAAGGCAATGAAATGAAGAGTAAGAACACACGTGATAAATGTGAGGGTGTCAGTTCTGAGTCATGAAGACCATGATCCACAAATTACTGGATATTAAATGGGTATATGCAGAGGAAAAATTATTATGTATTTGTTTTCCTTTCACATTCTTTCCTATATATCCTGTAGTAGCCACAGTTTCACCTGGGGTTACGTACAATGTAGCGGGAACCACACGGAGTCTCTAAGAAGACTTTCAATACAGACATTAAATAAGAACAAAATCTCTAGTTTGTGTTCTTTTATGTGACCCAACAGCTGGTCTTCTGCCTATTTACTGAAAGATGTTTTTCAGGTAAAAACCCCCAACAAAATGTTTCTTCCAGAGTAGCAGACCAGAGAACACTTTGCTTCTTGTGGGCATTGCCCCGTTCTGAAGTTCCTCATTGCCCCTTTCCTACGCCTGCCTGCTTGGCTGTGCCGTAGCACTTGCTGTAGTTTATCTGGAGCAACACACATTCATGCTGGGCATTTGGCTATTTCTACCTGGGCCTGAAAAAAATCCTAGCATTTTCTTTACCTTGGAGGAAGGATCCAAACTTGATTTTGCCTGTCTCCTGTTACTTTTGTGGCTACTTGACATCTTTAAAACCATAGACAGGGAAAAGAGGGAGGAAGAATGATGTAGGGCAAATGAAGAGATGGCTACAGATCAGTAGAGTGCAATCATAGGCCTTGCTTCCTTAAGAAACCAAAATAAAGCTGTATAGAATATTTACGATGCAATGCCTAGTACCGCTCTACAGCTGCCTTGTTAGAAATACAAACGTCATTTCTGTAAAGTGTGGATATATGTGTGCAATGAGATGTATAATAAAGGAACTGGTAATACAGTGTTGCAGGACATATTTCCTGTAGGTGCAAAGCTACTTTTAAATCTCTTGAACATCCTCAACAAAACGCATTAAAAACGAACCTTTTTTATTACAAAAAAAAATAATGTTCTAAACAACTGACCAGCTAAGTGTTAGTGGTTGAAGCAATTGCATTCTGACACATTAAATTTTGCAAAACTAAAAAATGGACTGGAGTTCTGTGATAGAAGAATCCTACACATTTTTATTGTTGGTGCTTAAGTTAGAAACACAGCAGCTATAATGGGATTGCAACAAGAGATACAACAGTCATAAGGAGGAAGCAACTATGGTACTGTTTCAGCAACTATGGTACTGGTAATTTCTTCTTTACAAGGCTTTTGCTTCTCAGGAGAGCCAATACATTCAACCTTACTTTTCTTAGATTTCAGCTTACTTCCTTTTGGCTATGAAATTATTGGCAAGTTTTGAATTTGTATGACAATAAAAAGTTTTCTGGAAGCAGGATAGAGCATTTTAAGATAAAAAATACCACAATATCATTCTTTTAAAGAAAAAGGTTAAAATAGTTTGGTATACCCATCACAAGCACCTATAGTTTATCCTCAGTGTACCAAATGAATTTTAACAGAGAAGGCAAGGCTAACAATAAAGCAGGTCCCCTCTCAGGTAAAGACTAGAGGTCTGGAAATAAGAGCTATACACATATGGCTCATTCCATAAGCTTAGAAATTCATATTCAGGCAAAAATCTAACAGATGCTGTTGGCTAGGTCCATACCTAGTGTAATAAATATAGTGTGTGCTGCTGCTTGTTGCAGTAGGCAGCGCAGGCCTGAGGGTCCAGTATATCTTTGCCTTGAGTGTTCTACGAAGGGCACCCCCACTGTTATGTAAATTCTTTGTTTCTCCAGACTTCAGCCATTGCTTATTTGCTTTATGGGGATATATGGCACCTCCCAGGATCACTGCATTTTACTTTGAGTCTCAGTTTGCCAGCTTCTCTGAGCTTGACTAACTTTATTATCTTGAGGTAGTATTATGGATGGCTTACTAATTCCGTAAGTGTTCTGTGAGTTATCTAGTAACCTGAATTACTGTATTATTCTCATTAGATCCTTCCCTTTAGAATATACAGAGACTTTTATAAATTTAAGTCAACTCTATAGTATTGTAAAGTGTTTATTTCATATGCAAAAGTAATGTGAAGTGCTGTTCATTGCCAGGAGTTAATACTTGCAGTGCAGTGAACTGAGGTAAAACTCATTGCAGCCTTAACTTGGAAGATGGTAAAGATTGATGGAACACAGTGGGTTTAAAGAAAAGATGTTATTAACATGTAGGTGGCAGAGCTGTGCGGCAAAACACACTGTAAATCTGTATTAAAAGCTCCCTTGAACTGGTAGTATTTCACTTTGTTGCAAATCAGGGATACGGCAGTGTTGTGGAAGGCAGTTTGTCTCTTTCAGTCTGAGGTGCCCAGCCTTAGTCTCTTCTCACTCTCTTAGAAACATACTAGCCTTAGATGCAATACCCTTCTCACTCTCTTAGAAACATACTAGCCTTGGAGGCAATACTCATATGCAGAGATCAGAGTATTAAACTCACTAGGATAGCGAGGAATTAAAATGCCAGTAAAGAAATCAGAACTTTTAGCAGAACACTCAAAACCGTAGAATTCATATCAGAAAAAAATAATCCCATCCTCTCCAAAACCTGCAACCTGCCACTAGCAGCCTGGTGGTGAATAAACTGATAGTTTTAAGAAATGGTTGTTGCTTCAAATACAACCATATATGTGGCGCATACAGAGAAAATAGATGGTACAGGATGTAAAGAATGGATCAGAAGTTTTGTATTGGAAGTTACCTAAAATAATATTACCTGACACCTTCA